GTTGTCTGGGACCAATTAAAAAAATTACTTCTATGACATTTATTCGTTTCTTAACCGCTCATTGGCCGTTCGCCGACTAAGGCCGATAAAGATAATTATTTCATAAATTTTGAACACGACTATATTTCGAAACTCGCTCTTAGTAACAAATCTAGTTACTTTCCCCTGTGTAAATGCGTCTTTTCAATTCGCTCCTCCAAGTTTAAAAACAGAGTATAGTACGAATAACACACTGTATTGTCACGTTTACATGGATACACTTTTGACATTCCATAGCTTATTTGATAGTTTATATTGAAACAATACATGGCAAACTTTTAATGTTATTAAAGATATTATGAATAACATCTATTGTGCAGTTACATTTTTAAAGTCAAATTATTTTTAAAAAATATGGGTTTCTTCCGTTTTATCGTTAAATCGAATAATATAAATCTTTTAAGTTCTCCAAGAAATTTGGAGTTGATAGTTTGCTCCAGTTGGAAGTTAGGACCTAAAAACTGGTTTTTCCATTCTCTCTTTGAGTTGCTTTATCTCCCTTATTTCAAAGTTTCGGATATTAGTTTATACAGTGTGGAATAGCCAAGTGGAATAAATTCGGTAATAAATAAATGGGGGCGTGTTCGGTAAAACGTTCGCACACGTCGATTGGTATTTTTAGTTGCGCATTTTTTTCAACAACAACTTTTTATCCAGGGTGTGTCATGTATCAGTGGCCAATACCAACTTTCTTTTTTCAATTTTTCGATTCTTCAGAAAATTCTAGACATATTTTATGTACTATGTCCTGTACCTAACTGTTAAGAAACTATTAAATGTTTTACGATTTATTGCAAAAATTAACATTAATAAAATAAAATTATTAGATTACAGAAATTCGTTAGAAAACACTCAAAAACTAATAAGTAATACTGTTTATTTCTTGTAATGTAAAACATCTCAATGTAGAAAATGTTAAAAATGCTCGCCGCGATCCTCTTGGCAACATCCTAATCTGAAATAAAAATGTCTTTTAACGTTACTCAACATCTCAGGCGTGACCGATCTAATCGCAACCGTTATTCCTCTTCTGAAGTCAGCTAGGTCGAGAGGTTTAGTTTTGTATGCAATACTTTTGACATATCCCCATACGAAAAAGTCTAATAATGTCAGATCAGGGGATCGTGCAGGCTATTCCATTGATCCTCGCCTCCCTATCCACCGATATGGAAATACTTGATTGAGGTACTGCCGGACATTGATTTGGTAATGGGGCGGTGCTCCATCTTGCTGAAACCATATCATATTCGCTGGAACTTGTATGTTTGCTGGATGGGGATATAAGTTCGTTAAAGTTGGCACGACATTATTTTGGAGCAGTGCTAAATAATTATCGCCATTCAAATTGCCATCAATGAAAAAGGGACCTATGATAAGATCGCCGACAATTCCTGCCCCAACATTAACCTTTTCAGGGTATTGCGTATGTTTTTCTCTCATCCAGTGAAGATTTTCTCTAGACCAATAGCGGCAATTTTAACGATTAGTATGACCGTGAAGTGTAAAGGTACATTCATCAGAAAACAAAACACGTTCTAAATGGATCACCATATTATCTAACATATTCATCATTTGTTCACAAAATTTGCGTTGTCCTATCAAAATCGTATTCCATGAGCTCCTGAGTTGCTATTATTTTATAGGGATGCATTTTATTTTCTTTTAATGTTCGAATAATCTATGAATGGCTAATATCCAACATTGAGACTGATTGACAACTAGAAGTATGTGGGTTTTCCTGAAACTCAAGCATTATATCCAATTTGGTATCATTAGTTATCGCATTGGCAGCTGTTTTTTTTATATGCCTCGCGAAACTGCTTCTCTATTTTACTAATTGTCCCTTGGGATATAAGCGGTAAATTTGGAAATTTTTCATGAAATAAGCGAGCAACTTCCATTTGTGTCCGTGTGTTATCTCCATAACTAGTCATCTGTAGAATTGTTATTTTGTGCATTTCTGTTAAATGAACCATTTTTCTGATATGCAGTCAAACGACTATAACACTGACAACTACTGTCATGCAGTCAGATAACAATTTGCTAAGGTCAGGCATTTTAAACAAAAGTAAACAAAACTATTTAGGTGTAGCTTTTTTTAAATTTTATATCAGTAAAAAGGAACGCTGGAATGGTTTTTACTTACTTTCTCATTATCAAGACCTAAATGGGAAATAAGTATTGAGTGTGTTGTAGCGAATTTCTGTAATCAAACAATTTTATTTTGCTAATGTTAATTTTTTCAATAAATCGGAAAACATTTAATATTTCCGCAACCGTTAAGCTGTAACCTTTCTCACCCAGGTACCTTCATAATTTATTAATTCCATTTTATTAAAGAAAAGTTGCATTCTTATTAAATTCAAATTCCTACATTTAACGAAAACTCTTCGTTAGAAATAGCAATATTTCTGTTTGCAGTGTCTCTAATACTATAGAAAAGATAAAAAGTTATCCCATGAGAATCCGATCCAAAAACCTCCATAAACCTATTTCTTTTCACGAAGTAATAATCATTAAAACACTTAACCCGCTTATCTTTCAAGTTTCGATGATAAGACCGATTTTCGACAATATTTCTATAGAAAATTCCAAGAATTTCTCAAGGCACATACTAAATCGACCACCATCTTTTCTATCCACCCAAATTCGTTTCCACAGTATTACGTCAAGTTGACGTCACAAAAAATCATTAAAACGGGTATAAAGACCAGAATTTAAGGAGCTCTGGATTCATTTATTATGATTTTATATAGAATTCAGATTATAATTTTATATTCAGTACATTTCCTAAATCGACGCTCTCCTTAACCGACGTATAACCTCCAATACCTTCTATCCCCCGAACGCTGTCTACGCCCACGCCTTATTTCCCGACGCTTGTCGTATTTTCAACCGTATATCTATCCCGACGCAGTACCGCTAGGCGCCTCGACGCAAGACGACGACCAACGCTGCGACGTACCTAAATCGACGCCGTTACAACGCTAGATACAATTAATACATAATGTCTAGTATAGACGAATCTAATGTCTGTATTTTCAATGGTGAGTTAAACTATTTATGTAACTTTCTTTGAGATGCCACTGGGGTTTCGTTTGAATAAGAGCCTGACATTTTCTTCAAAACATTATCAATGTAAATAATAAACCCCGAAAGATAGTTAAGTTAGATATCTGTTTTTTTGATGGATGAATTTAGGTCATTTCAATAGAAATAATAAAAATCAATATTAAGAAATATACAGGGTTGCATAAAGTCATTTCAATAGAAATTATAAAAATCAATATTTTAGAAATATACAGGGATAAATTATACAAACCGAGATAATAACATTTAATAGTAAGTTAACCAATTGGTGAATACACTGTTCGTTAATTCAAGGGGGGCACTGTATACTAAGCCACCCATTCTACTGGGTTTGAAACAAAGTATATGTGAAATCAACACAGTAAGGTAACCAACTGCCGAACTGACGTTGTTCGTTACCTCCATTGGTCATCACCTCTATACTCTTCGAAATAATTACCTAAGAGGGTACAACCTGTGTATATCTAGAATAGAATCAAGCTAAATAAAAATATAAACATCAACACAGTAGTTAACCAACTGGCAAATTGACGCTGTTCGTTAACTCCGTTGGTCATCAAGCTAAATGAGAATATAAACATCAACACAGTAGTTAACCAACTGGCGAATTGACGCTGTTCGTTAACTCCATAGAATATATCTTGATAGCAAATGAACGTGGTCTGCGTTTGAACGAGACTCAAGTAAGATCTCAGTAAATAGTCCATATTAATTGTTATATACTTTACTAATTATTTAAAATATGAAATATGAAAAATAAAAGAGTTTACATATAAATTTGTCTGGTTTTATTTATCAATTTGCACCAAACTTTGCATCGAATCCTGGTATACCTTAATTAACATTATTACAACGTGGGTATATAAATTATCAATTAATTAACTAGACGATCACCACTACTACTAGAGGAAAAAGGTCAAATACAGTAAGTATGAATTACTTTGAATTTCACAAAGGGGAGGGAAAAATACGGGCTTTCAAACAACAAGACCGGGGAGTGGGCGTTACAGGACATAGTGAATAAAATATGTCCAGAATCTTTTGAAGAATAAAAAAATTGAAAAATATACAGGGTGTTGCATTTAAAATAATAAAGTTGGTATTGGTCAGTGTTACATGATACACCCTGTTTAAAAAGTTTTTGTTAAAAAAAAAAACTAAAAATACCAATCGACATGTCCGAGCGTATTTTCGAACACGCCCCCATTTATTTATTACCGAATTTATTCTATTTGGCTGTTCCACACTGTATAGCAACCTGACCTTAATTTTCCTTGTTCACCTCCTAAAATATTTGTATTCGTTTTTGATTTACCTTGTATATACTGTAGTATACTTCGTTTGAAGAATAAGGAAGTTGGTGCAGTAGTATAATTAAAAGCAAGTGAATTACAGAAATATATTACAAGGTTACCAAGCAATTAATTTTTTGTGAAATTATAGAATGATGCAGACCCTAAATAAAATTGTGATGATTTAGGTAGGTAGGACATCTAAAAAACTGTTATGGAGTGTTTTTACTAGGCTGCTTCAACTATCTGGTTTACCTCTAGTATCCAAATACATATAAATTAAAAATAGAAACTCAACTTTTTAAAAACCCTGTATAAATGTTTTGCGGTGTTACTCATTATTATGAAAACCACACTTGACGTACACACAAGCAACAGCAATTCTGAAATCCATTAATTTCGATAACACATTTTTTTAATCTTTTATTTCGACTAGTTTTGCCAAAATTGCATTTGTCCCTCTGGAAGCCAATTAAAAAGTCACAAGCAAAAATATCACAAGCTCTCTGCGACAGCTAATTGTTTAGCTCTTGAACATCCCATTAACTTTGTTTCAACAAAAGTAATTAATTTACTAACCGTTTCATTTGTGTCCTGGTTAGATGGATTTTTCTGAAAAAGGAAAAGGAAAAATAGCAACAATTATGTACTGTTTGTCAAAAGAAAACAAATTAGCTGATGAATGAGATGTGAAAAAATTATTGTAATGCAGTAAATGGTAATAGCAAAAAAGAGTTTTTAATGATAATAATACAAAACAATAAATTGTTTAAAAATATCTTTGAATAAATACAGAGCGAGGGAAAATGATTTAATTATGTTGGAAAGTAATAATATTTATTTAAAATAATTTACATCATTTCGTTTTATATACATTGACTATTTTGAATAAAAACCGCCAGAATTCAAGTATAAGAAAAAGTATATTTAATTGTCTTTTACATTTTTGAAGGTTGTATGAGGAATAAAAGCCATATGTAATATTATTTTTTTTGATAAAATACCGTATATGATGGATGCACTCAATAATATTAATATTTGCTTAGAGAGACCGCATGTAAAGACATGCAGCGTTTTTCCTTAATATGACCGACCCCTCTTCAATAATATAATTCGAGAGACACTAAAATGGTGGTTCCCACCTAATCGAGACTGAAACCCACATGGGTAAACTCGTAGCGTAAAAAAACGAGAAATGATTTAACTTGGAACGAAAGACAGAAAGCCGATAGTAGTATTAAGACGTTGAATTTTTTGGTTTGTGAAGCATTGGCATTAATTAGGTTACACCATGTAATGATTTTCACACGCCTTAATTTTTAAAACCATTCTATATTGTCTTTTCATTAGGGTTTACAAACTTGTTCGAGCAATTTATTCAATAATAAGCCCGCTCATGTAAAATATTTAGGCTCCTTACTTCGCCGATTTATCTAAAAATATTTGGTCCCTTTTAAATATGCCCAAGTAAAATTATAGGATCCCTTTACTCCCTTAGATCTGTTCATGCAAAAATATTTGCGCCCATTGTCGCTTAAGCCTACCTACGTATAAAAATTTAAAATGGTTTCAAAAAAAGTGGCATTATCTTTTTCCATTTTGATAAATTTATTAATACCAATTCTTTGGGCAGTGCATTTATCAGTCTGATAGTTTTAAAATAGTAGTGTTGGACGACTCTACTGATGTATTTTTTACATATTTTTTAAAACAAATTCGGTAATTAAATAATTTTCGAATTGTTTTGGTCTGGGTTTTGGAAAAATTTACTAAAAAAAGCTATTGTAATATATGAAAAAAAAAAAAAACCTTAATCAATAGACTTTTATCGTCTGATGCTTATTAAAAAATTTGATCCAAGGTCTTGTATATCACTAATTTTCATGAAATACATCTCATTAGTCCGTTATTCTTAAAGGAGTATGTCAAAATTTTACCCTCAGCATTTGTGAGCTGTTTTCAATAAGGGCGTTCAATTATTTAAAAAATAAAACACAATTTACATATTTTATTTTTTTGTTGTTAAAAGTAATGTCAAATGTGAAATATCACTATTCATTGCCAATTTTTCGTTTTTTTTTTCGGTTTTTCGATTTTTTGCAGTTTTTCGATTTGGATTATTCGATTTAGATTTTTCGATTGGATTTTTCGATTTTCGATTTGGATTTTCCGATTTTCGATTTGGATTTTTCGTTTTTTTTTTATTAAGTATTCGATTTTTCGGTTTTTCGATTTTTCTTCTTGGATTTTTCGATTTGTCGATTTTTTCGATTTTTAATCGGGCTCAAACTTCGCGCGATATGGTCATCATATCCACTCTTGTCGCACAAACTACTATTTCCTACACCTAGGAAAGTGTCTCATATCGCACTATTTAGTCTCATAGGAAGTACCCTATATCCTTTATCAGACGGGGGTAACTATGAATCTACTTTCTGCATTAGCAAAAATATGTAAGACGCATAATTTTGATTTTGATTTATGTAATGTTCATAATAATAGTAAAATCGATTTGATTATTAAATTGTTAACATTAATTTTTATACCTAGATCTTAGATATTTATTTTTAACAAATTATTAAAATATTTTAAAGTAACTACATTATTTTTGTTTTTCCTTTTTCATATACATATCTAAGTAGATAATTCAAGTAACATAACCGTGATAACGCAGTTTGTAGAGTGTTCAATTTTTTCAACTCTGCATGTTGCGATCATGACGCTACGCGATGGAGAATCTTTTTGAATTTTACAGTTAATCTTTTCGCTATTTATTTTGTACTATTTTAATAACTGTTCAGAAAAAATGGTGAATAGATAAGTGGGTAAGCATTACTTAATAATAAAAAAAGTTTTTGTTTACGGTTGTTTATCTTATTTGTTATAAAAAAAATAAACAAATGAAAATTATTGTTTTCTTAATATTTTTGTATCTAATGTTATTTTATTTTTTATCATCCTATAAAATACAATGTTTTAATTTTGATAAAACACCATCTGTAAAAGAGTTTAAAAATTATTCAATAATGCATATAAAAATAACTCTAAGACCAGCCACATCTTGGTGCCTATATAGCCAGATTTCTTGCTTTTGTATTTTTTTGATAAAATTGTTTTGTGGTCGTAGGAAAAATATTGTACATCACTTGTGTAAAAAAGATGTTAGACACTCGTAATATAATATACTATTGTGTGAGTTATTTATCGAAAAATATGTCTAACAAAGATTAATTATAAAGTAAATGTTTAAAAATCATCAAACTTACTAAAAAAAAATCTTCACATGCGGCTTTTTTCCTAATAAAATTTTAAAATCGCTGAACTGTACGTTACATTATTTTCAGGAAAGTCGGCTCTTTCTAAGAAATACTTTTATCGATAGTTTAGTGCACATTAGTGAAAATAGGAACAGTCTAGTGTCAATATTAATGTAAATACTTCAAAATCAAAAGGTACAAAACGTTGATAACATTTTTCTTGAAACGGAAAAAGGAGTAGTTTTATGGTTTTTTCCTTTGTTTTTATTTTTAAATTGATCACATTTGAAAATTTGAATTTATTTTCTTTAACAATTGCCAGTCTGGTTATTATTCCGCATTGTTCTATGAACTAGGTGCCAAAGATTTTGCTTCCTAAGTACAATGGCGTTACCATTTTTACTCTAACTTTCTACATTCTCTCATCCTCCATCAATGTAGGCGAGTGAATTTATCCTATTTCGCAATTAATTAGAGACTCACTGTTTCTTGCTGATGGGTCCTAATAAGAACGAAACCGGTGCAAGAATGACGATCTCCTTAAGAAGCAAAATCAAAGTTAGCGTGTTGAAAATTATTTTCTATATCTGCTATTTTCCTTTTGATATAATGCAATGCCCGTTGCGGCATTAGCCAAAGAGTAGTCACTCGACGTTTTTGTGGCACGAACTTTTACTAATATGTAATTAATAGCAAGTGGGCGGCCACCCATATGGTCTAGGGTTAATTTAAACTTGTACCGGGTTGGGTAGAAAATAAATACGACACATGCAATTATTTTTGGAAGACAAGCTCAAAAAATTCCGATTGTTCATTTTTACCATGCAAGTCAATCAATTTTTAAATTTTTTCGAAATAATCCCCCTGTTCTTTATGGTTGCAGCGCCAGCGTGTACATTTTTATGCGTGTGTGACAATGCGTTTACCTGAGGAAATAATCGTTGACGAAATCTGGATGCTCGTCCAGCCAGGACTCCATTTGAGCGTACTCCGGATCGTACGAGTGTCCATAGTTGTTATGATTGTACCTCGGCAGCTTGTTGGCTGAATCCGATCCAGTGGTGACGCCATCTATCGGCATCCGCGTATCGTCGCCACTGTTTCTTAATTGTAAGCCTGAAACAAAACGAAACAAAATTTATCAAAACAGTTTTTATACGATCGTACCTCAATAAAACTGCTGCTTGCCATCTTTTGTTTTTAATAGAGCTCCTGGGGGTTTTGACCTCGAACTTTTGCTGCAGCGAATAAATTTATATGGAAAAAGTAATATTTTGTTTTTTATACCATAAATTACAAAAAATTTTTCAAAAATTATATATTTTTTCTGTATATGACATATTAAGAACCACACTGCCTGAGATGTCAAATATAATAGCTGGACATTGTAAGAAATTAAGAAATTGTACCAATGAAGACAATAATTAAACAAAGAGGGAAAAATACTAATAAAAATAAAATGACTTAGTAAACATTGTTTAACATATTTTTATTTTACATGTTCTATAAATAAAATGGTAATAAAATTACACTTATTACAGAACTTTTAAATACATATCTTAAACGTTCACCAATAGAAACCACCTCAGGGTTTTCTAGTATTCCAAAAATCGGACAAAAAGAAACTGTTGAAACATTCTTTTCATTTGCAATGAATGTTCTTCAATGAAACTTCTGAGCATTTCATTTGCCTCCTACAAAATTAACCAATACAAAATGACCATTTTTTTAATTCGTTATTCTGCCTTAGAGGCTTTACTTTTTCTATCTCTTGATCTCCTTCTTTATCTTTTCCAATATTCCAGGTTGAATCATCTGATTCTGCATATTTCACATCTTCACTGGACTCGTCTAATTCTAGTTTACTACAGATTTTTATTTTTATTTTTTTGAAATTTATTATTACTTCCTTTTTTTCTTCCCTTTGAAATTTTCTGCTGAACTTTTCTTTTTCCTTTCGTTCCTTTTCTAGCATCTTTTGTCTGTTGTATTCATGTCATGGTTCTGAAGTTATAACTAAAGGTATTTTTTCTTTTTTCCTATTTTTAACATTTCTGTGATATTGATGTTAATACTAAGAGGAGTTTGTGTTTTCTTCAACAGAACTTCTTTTTGTGGTGTTGAATGAACTACAATGTCAGCCATTTTATTCGCAGATGCTTTTCTGTAGTTACAAATATGTTTGAAATATTAGAAAATTATCAGTCATTAATATTTCACTGTCATCTCTTTTTCTTTCATATTCTTCTTCATCGCTATTACCTTGAGTTGTAGACTTACACTTCAAATATATTTTTTGCTAAATACAAAAAATATTAATTTCTTAAAAATCTAACAGAGGCACCAGACGAAAAATCTTGCAATGTAAGGGTTTCGTAGTACCCCAAAAGTTAAATCTATGCTACTCTGGAACCACTTTTTCATAATTCAATTTAGTTTCTACTGAAAAAAATTGAGAAAATGGGTAAAAAAAGTCGAGTTTTGTATTTTTTTTAAACAGATTTAAATTTTGAAAAAGTATCTCCAGAGAAGCACAGATTTAACCTTTACCTACACGTACATATTTTTATCTTTTAGAATAAGTCAAAAATAAACTTTAAGTAGGGTGTTACGAAACCCTTGCATGCTCTGCTCTAAAGCCAAGTAAATACTCCTCTTAAGATAAGTAAGGATAAATATATCTATTCTCGCGTTTGGTAATGTGCAAGTACATAGGCGTATCAGTTTTTATTAAAACTAATAATAATATCGCTTCAGAGTGTGGGTTGTCTCAGTGGTTAAAGTCATGACTTTGAGATCGAAGGGTCTCGGGATCGAATCCCGTTGTGATTTATATTTAATTTAATACATTAAATATTAATTCTAATGCATATGTATGATTTCCCACTCGACCATTCACTGTTGGGTTCTAATTAACAGTGTTGTTCCCAAAGTGGCGCTGGGAAACAGAGTGACAAAGTCTTCACAGAACACGAGGCTAATAATCATAGCAGTTGATGCCGAGGACACAAAAAAATCATATCGCTTTTCAATAAATGCTTCTTTTGTTGTGCTAATGCTTGCCTACAGAACTTGCCCGTCTGCTCTGAAGAGGCGAGAACCCTCTTCAAATCAATTAATCTTGAGTGGGGCGAGGGCTGATTAAATGAAATAAAAGGAGAAAGATAATGTGATGGGAAACAAGTTTGAAAAGGATTCATTTCTACACATTAAGTGGCCGAGTTTTAATTAGCCACTATTGTTTCCTCGGTTGTTTTTTCGATAAAATAAAGGGGATCTCGTGCGGAAAATTCTGAAAAGCTGCTACATATTGTATAGGGGGTAAATCACTGACTCTTGTTGAATAATCGCAGGTTATATCCTGAGTGCGTCTAGTTTAATCGATTGAATGATACTTGAAGGGTATATTATGTTAAGATTATTTCACGAATAACAAAATTAGCTAGGGGTGGGTTAGTTTAGAGTGGTTAGAGTCATGACTTTGAGATCGAAGGGTCTCAGGTTCAAATCCCTACGGTGATAAGATTTTTAATTAATTTCATGAATTAAATATTAATTCTAATGCATATAGTCCAGGATCCGTAAGTAGGGTCGACCTTCACCCATCTGTTTAATGGATAAAACTTATTTTTTATTAAATAAAATATGTTTTTAAATATACCGCAAATGGGTTGCCTAAGAAAATACGGTCACGGCCATTTTTCACTTTCCTTTCTGTGTACAGATAAGGAAACTATAAAAATCATGATAAAAGTTGTTTATGATGTCATTATCTATTATTTTGTTCCCATACATGATTTTCCTAAAATGGATCTAATTCGAGATATTTGAGGAAAAGTGCAAATTTCGAGTTTTGAAGACAACTCAAAAACGGGTGAAGAGAAAAACACCAAATTTTAAACTTAAGTTTTAATCCATCCTGCGGTGAGCTGATTAAAGTTTGTGCATAGTTGAAGCATCTGGGGAATACTTTACAGGGTGTCGTTTTTTTTTTACTTTAAGAAAAAGAATAGTCTGGACCATATTTTCTTAGGCAACCCATTTGCGGTATATTTATAAATATATTTTATGTAATAAAAAGAAACTTTCATCCATTAAACAGATGGGTGAAGGCCGACCTTACTTCGGATCTTAGACTAATAGGCAGGATTCCCTACTCGATCATTCACTGTTGGATTTTCATTAACAGTGCTTTTCCAAAAGTGGCGCTGGGAAAACAGCAACGAAGCCTACACAGAACATGAGGGTAATAACTAAAGCAGTTGATGCCGATGACATAAAAAAAATAGTTTAAACTACAGAATGTTTACAATCTTTACCGTCTTTTCTATGCATTTTGTCCCCAGTCTTTTAATTTTAAAGCAACATGAATTGATTTTAATTTCAATTTTTTTTTTGACTTTATTAATTGAAATATTGTTTAATATTTCATTATTTACCTTATCCAATGAAAATACTCCAAACCTGCGTGTTTCCCACATTTTTATTCTTCAAATACTTAAAAGGTTACTACTGAAAATGTCAGATAATAAAATTAAAGTTGACAGATGTAAAACACGCAGGTTTGTTGGAAGACACCGGCCTATTTTATGTATAGTCGTTATACACAAAATAAGTAATCATGCATATACAGGGTGTTAAAAAAAAAGTGTCACAAAATGAAATGGTGAATAGTATGACCCAAAATAAGCAGAAAAGTCTTAATAAATATATGACCGCAAATTAACGGTTTCGGAGATACGGACCATTTTGTGTTTATAACAATTTTTTATTATTATAAAAAAACAATGATATTTATAAACAATCAATAACAACATAGAGTTAAATGAGATGTTCAAAGTGCCCTCCCTCCATTTCAATGCATTGCCATTTGCACGACCGTACATAAAATGCATGTCAGCTAATTCAATATTAGTGTAAACAGGCATAACGAAAATTTATAAAATTATTCACCCACAACAAAATAATAACTGCAAATAGTATCTATGAAAAAACATCGGTAGACTCCGATAAGAAAAGCAAGTTTTTGAGAATGAAAAAAGATAATCAAAAAATGATACAAAACACTCCGTATCTCTGAAACCATTCATTTGCGGACATATGTTTATTAAGACTTTTCTGCATATTTTGGCCCATACTACCCCCGTTTTATTTTGTGACACTTTTTTTTAACACCCTGTATACTTCAAAAAACTATTTGAATTCTTAATATTTTTATGCCTTCACATTTTTTCAATTTACTCAAATACAATATGTCTACTTTAAGGAGGTCCTTTCGCCACCAATGTTAAATAAAAAATATTAGATTATGACTAAAATTAATTTTTTTCTAATAGTAGATGTCCTTATTTATCTAATAGTGAACTTTTAACTATACCTTACCGTGAAAATTTTTGAGAATTTTTTTTTTTTTAATGTGTGTGTTTGTACAGTGTCTTATGAGAAAGTAAGACTTCAACAACAATTTTCGAATTATAATTAATTTTACTATTATTTATTGATTAGATGGAGTAGAAAAAAACTAAAAATAAGGTTTTTGAAATATTTAGGTTTTGTTTTTACAATAAAATATATAGATTACCGTGGAAATTATTGAGAAATTATTATTAAAAAATCACAAAAAATTTTCAACTAGGTTACTTGAAAATTTTTTGTGATTTTTTAATATTAATTTCTCAATAAGTTCCACGGTTTACTATATACAATGTGGAAACCACTTATGGAATAAAATTCTTTATGTCATTATTTTAGAAAATTATAAAAAATGCCGAGACATGTCAACTTTTGAATTGAGTTGTGCGTTATGTAAACATAAATTTAAATGTACAGGGTGATTCACGCAAGTATGCCATAGTCGGTGTTGTTTTTTTTTAATGAAACACCCTGTATATTTGCATACATACATTATTCAGTTTGTTGGAATCGGTTAATTAAGAGGATTTCAAAAATATGCAAATATACAGGGTGTTTCATTAAAAAAAAAAACAACACCGACTATGGCATACTTGCGTGAATCACCCTGTACATTTAAATTTATGTTTACATAACGCACAACTCAATTCAAAAGTTGACGTGTCTCGGCATTTTTTACAATTTTCTAAAATAATGACATAAAG